AAAAACTCCCATGCAGAGGGTAGCCAGGCAGCCTTTCACAGAGTGTGAGCGCCAGTTAACTTTCTACTCTGAAACAGATGCTCCTCCGCCAATACGTGGACATGCCAAAGACTGAAATACAGATCTTCCCCAGCACCAGTTTTAGTTTGGCACAGGCCAAAACTATCAGCAGAATCATGGAAACCAGCACTGCTAGGTGACCTTTAAAAAGGAATGTCTCATGAACTCTACATTTTCAGAGAAAGATACCGAAAGAGAGCTACAGATGGCTTGCTACCTTGAGGACCCATTTGGTAAAGCACAACTTGAAAGTGCCCAGGCACTTAATAAATTAACCTCTAGATAGCCCATGTGTTCACAGACCTTGGAGCTGTCAGACACTCTGAGGTTGTCTGTCCTCTTCCAAGGCTCTAGCTCCAAAGGCTGGCTGGGACAATACTACCAAACAGCTCTTCCTGGAGACAGCCAGAAGTTAGATGGTGTCAAACAGCACCAGCTGTGGCTAGCAGGGGAGCATTTCTGTGTCATGTTAGGGATTATGGAATAGGATAAAACATCCTCTGTTTCATGGACTGTTTCAAGGACTTGAGGTAGGTATTTAATGAGGGTGCCAGCATTTCAAGCAGCTCCAAGAAAAGTTCAGGAGTCTAAGGATGGACATGTAAAGATCACCCTCCTGAACAACCTGCAGGGGTAATAAAAGAGCTAGGGAAGACTGAAGAACCTCTGCCTTCAATGCCACATTCAAGGGATGGATGGCAGAGCTTGAAACGGATGCAGACAGTACTATAAGTGCTTTAACAAAAGATATCTAATAGGGAAAATCTACAGACACATGTCTGAGGACTTGAGGACTACTAGTAAGGCAGGACAAAGCTTGTGACTAATGAACTGCAGACAAGAGACTGAGCCAAGACCTAATGGCTAGGAATAATACGGAGTCCTGGGAGTTCTAGGAAAGCAGAAATGTTCCAAGAAACTAAGAGGAACTGACAGAGTAGTGCAATACCACCCCTCTCCGTTTCAGCTGCATGGGGGGTGGGTGCCCATTCCAGACCTAAAGGTCTGACCTCATTATTACAGCCCACAAAGACTATCTGGCTTCAGTGCCTGTACATTGGTATCCCTACAGTGCAACTGTACAGGTAGACAAAGCACTCAGAGCAGAACTGTGAGTCTCCTGACATATGCTGACATAAAGGAGACTCACTTCACAGAAAAGATGTCAGTTATGTACAAAACCATTAATTTTATACTGCTACAGTCTAAAAAGAAGCCCAGCCCAACTCATACGACAATTTACCAGCAACTGCTTCCTAACAGTTGTCAAACTGGAACAAACTGGGGTCTGACATTTATTTCCAGCCTACACTTCCAGTCACATGAAATCTTCAAGTGACTCCAACTGCAGTTCCACATCCCCTCCCATAAGAGAGGACACAGAGCCTAAGACAGCTATCAAGGAGCCCGTATTAGTCAAGTCTTCTCAAGCCCCCGGGAACTGTTTGAGTCTTGTCTATTGAACAGCTTCACAGAGATGATTTATTTGATAATTCAGATCCTTTGCCCTACTCTGAGGCTGCAACCCCTGAAAAGTGAGGCATTCACTGCTCTAGGGTAAAACAACAGAAAAAGGCATCTTGGATATTTCTGTGTACTGTATTTTGTAATTACTTTAAAATCAGAAGTCTATTAGCATCACTTCTCTCAATTCTCATCACTTCTCTGACTGCCAGGAAGTCAGTAGCTTATCATGGATTGAGAGTCAGTTTTAGAATGAAAAAGCTGCTGATGCAATAAAAGACTGTTATTTATGTAACTGAAGCTGTATATTTTAAAGGCCAAGGGTCTCAATAATGCTGAACTGATGATAACAAAGATTTGTCAGCCCTTAAAAACCTTAAATCTATACAGTAGGCAGAAGACATAGATTTCCCAGCATTTAATATCATTTTAGTAGTTTAATGATTAACTCACAATTAATTACATCATGTTCAGTGGCCAGTATGTTTGTCAGGTTCATGTCTATAAATGATTTGAAGGTGTCTAAATGATAATCTATCTACACTTCAGTTCCAGAGGGATAACAAGAACAGACCAGTACCATAGATACCAAAGTCACAGCTGGGACACTAAGCACTAGGCATCGTTATACTGCACTCGAGGTAGAATAAGCTCCTGAAGATCCACTGCTGCCTTCAGGTGAGCTATCTAAATAACACAGGGAGAGAGCTTGATGCAGACAAATTACACTGCTGTACCCCGAGTCAAAGGATGTTTTGCTTTGCAATTTAATTGCCAAATGGGCTTAACACAGAAGTAAAGCAAGAAGAAGAAAATGAAACAAAAGGTTTGTACTTCGAGTATGTAACCAGTCCTTCACTGCTCTGCCTTGCATTTTCTCTGGTTCCTGAGCTTTTAACTTCCTTCAGCTCAGACCTCCTACACCACCATGCTACACGAAATGTGTTGTTTCTACTCACCATACCTGAATGTTCCTTAGCTTCATCGCTGTAAGGCAACAGAGACTCACACCTCCTTATCTCACTCCTACAGGTAGAATGTACTAAACAAGGGGTTTTCCTAAGCACCCAAAGCTAACTAACCTAACCTGAACCTAACCTTGGAAGACAATTAAGGGTAGCTAAGGGCAGGTCATTCTTTTACAGTGAAAATCAGCCCTGGGGGTGAGTGGGGACTGAGGAGGCTAAAGGAATGGTTGCAGAAAGGATGCTTGTAAGTGAGCTGCATTAAACAATTACAAGCACAGTGGTTTAGTGCCTCAGGTAGGTAAAAAAGTGAAGAGACTTCATACAGCCTCCTTAGGCAAGGAAAATTTCTCAGGCAATGTTTATCAGTGGCACTGTTTTCTTACATAAGGATTATTATTTTAGGTTCTTACATGTATATTTTAATGCAAGAAGAGTGAAACATTAAATTCAACAAACAAGGACAGTAACCCCCTGTAACGTCAATTTCATGTCTGATTCAGTATTAAGTTATAACCAGGATTACATCTCTTACAAGCCCAGAGCAGGTATCTTTACTCCAGCCACATACACCCAGAATAACAAAAATGAATGATTTATACTTATGAAAATACATATGAGATCAAGTTCTCTGATGCAGGTAATAAGGAAAAGTACGTTGACTACACTTGAAAACTGTAATGTGATAAATGCCAGTACCAAAGAGCTGCCAGGCACTTTTAAGATGGATTTTATACATATACATCAGATTTCATTCAGATTATGCACTACGAATTAGCTAGAAGCAAGATACACAAACGAGTTAATAGCATTATCAGGCCAGCAGTGTGTCCACAATTTAAAACAGATGCAAGATTCAAAGTGCAATCTGCAGATAATCATTTGGGGAAGATTATTTCATACTTGACTAATTTAGCTAACAATATCAAAAAGGTGCTAATTAAAAACCGCCGGCGGCTGTCACTTGCTGCCAAAATTGCAGAGATGCTGCCATTGAAATGTTTCCATCTAATTATTAAAGAAAGCATTTGGAGTGTTTCAGGAGTTGGAGAACAGACACAAACTTACTGTTGTGTTAGCAAAACTCACTTCTGAAACTTCCTAAATCTGATTACTCGAACATTCTGGACAGTTTTACAACACTAACTCCGTGATTCACAGGAAGCAATTTCTGGGTAATAAAGGCATCAGGAAGTGCTAGATCCTCAGGTATTTATTTTTTAAACCAACACCATCTTTCAGACTTCTGTTCTCCACTGATGCAAGTAATTGATTTTTATCTTACTGGGAAAGGAAGTGAGAGAAATGAGATGCACAAATATGTCATTGCCTGCTCCAGTTGCAACCATTACAGACAGGTATAGAAACTACCAGCAATTTTGTGTTGAAAAACTGCTGGATACATTTGTAGCAGTTCAACAGAAGATTCCCCAAATACTTTTCACCAATAAAGACTTGGAGCATTACTGGTGAGATAAATAAGCAGAATAATCCACCAAAACTTATTATTCCCTGTGCAGGACCATATAAATCTCACCAAGACTGGCACAGACTTGGGACAACAGCAAGAAAGGTCTACAGCTGATTCATGCTGTGAAATGCAGCTTCACCCTCAGCATTCTCACTTGCATGTGAGGAGGACCATACACTCAATTATGACAAGCAAAACTACTTCTCTAATGACCAACATTTTCAGGTCGTTCTCAAGACATCTTTATTTAGAGGATCTACAGTTCAGAGGCACTACTTCTGCTCACTGAACAGAAGGTCCCATCAAGGTTCCTTAGACTGAGCACCTAGAAACTGAAATAGTCAAAAACGACAGATCCGTTCCAATTTCTTTTTAGGTAAGACACAGAGAGAAGATTTGTGAAAGCAGAAAGGAGCTAGAAGGGGCATTTAAAAATACCTTCAAAAGAGCAGGAATAAGGTACATTAAATAAAGAAAATTTGCAATTCTGATTTTTTGAAGTTCAAGAACAATCGCCATCCCTGTGAAACCTTCCAAAGCTGATTATCAGCTCTGACATACCCAGACTCCTCTGGATTCTTCTATGCCCAAGTTATTACATATTTAGAGCATGTTTCCAAGGCAGCATTTGTGAAAGCACATGCTGTTAGCATGCCTGAACCACACAGCTCCTGTGCAAATCAGTGACATGTCTGCTTTGGCACAGGCACTTGGCAGAATTCAGGAGAGCTCAACAGTATTATAAAAGCTTAATCTGAGCCAAAGGCAAATGTCCTACTTAATCTGAAAGCAGGAACAAAGACAGGCAGCCAAACAACTTTATATAGATCTGCAGGAAAAAAGCCCTTAGGGGAAAGTAAGTTATTGCTCTTCTCAGTGGTAAGAGGCTTTTTCTGCCTGTCCACCTCTATCTATCCTTTCAGCTGCTCACTCTGCCCTACCCCATCAGATGGTTCCCACCCTCATAGACTGATAGCTCCCAACTTATTTAATTTTTAGTTTTACAACAGGCAAAAGTGGAAGAAACAGCTCTTACCTGCACAGAAAAGAGAGGGCATTCTGGTGCACTCTCCTAGCCAAGTAGGATTTTGGGCCTCACCAGAGATGCTATGTAATGAAACAGTTTTACACCAAAACATTTATCATGATAGCAGGACTGGGGTGCAACTCGGCTGCCCCTGTCACCAGGATGCAACAGACATCCTGAGCAGTTACTCCAGAGCCACAAGCTGAGTAGATGGTCTATTGAATGACATGACAGAAAGACAAAATAGTTTTAGTTTACTACATGTATAAAAACCCCTAAAGGGGCACAGGGCTTTACAAACTGAAACAAACATAGGTTTTCCAAGGCAAAGTATGAGATCGCACCACGAAAGTGGGACTTGACATTAGTGTTTTGACACTACAGCCATGCAACAACGAACTGCTTGCTTATGGTTACTGAACACATTGGTTGCTCTGTCGAATTGAAGCAGATGGGGACTATGTTCAATATGCTTTAAAAGATGCTTAATGCTCACAGTTTTTGCTGCTATATCTGTATCCACTGTATGATTGTTATGAATGTTACATGCAACCACTGCACATTTTTGAAAGCTATTTTTAAATGTCTGAACACACACAAAACACCTGAAAACAGCTTCTGCTGACATAAAATACTCTTCTGCTACAAAAAGAAAACTATCACTTTAATTTTAATCAAACTTTGTTTTCAGGAGGAAAAAAGCCTCATCTTAACCTTAAGAGTACTTCTTAAGGTTAAGAGTATTTCTTAAGGTTATTTCCAAGTTTTATTTGGCTTTTTCTCTATCTGAAGTGGTAATTAGTACTTCCACAACTACTATCAAGTTGTTCTTATGAAGGATTGAGTAACTTGTTCCTTATCACACATAAAAATCTTCAGGTGGAAATTGCAAAGGCAGGAACAAGGCCAGTATCATCAGCTGCTATTTTACCAGAGAAAGGTTGGGAGGAAGCATTTTCTGGCCCATTGTTTATCAAAGTTACTTTTCTTTTTACCTTTATTTCTGTTGGATGAGCCCATAAATGATGGGAGAATGAGATTAAATGGCACAGAGAAAAAAACAGTGACCTGAAGAAGTGGTGCACCTCAAAGAATTGAGAAGTGGCTAAAAGCAAGAGAACTCAGAGCCATCAGTGGCAGCTCTGCTAAAGCAAAACAAACCATTACAAGCATTGTATCAAAAAGACTAGCAAGTGTGTGATTTTTCTTTACCCTCAGACCTGAACAGCTGATGGAGGCACACCTATTCCTCTGTTAACATCCCTGTATTCCTTTTGCCAACTAGAAACCTTATCTTCACACCTATATAGTCTGAAGTATCATCTAGTGATACTGTTCTAGTTTACTGCCCTTGTTTCTCTTATACTGTGTCTATCATTATACCAACACAAATCTTCCAAGTGCTCTCACTCATAAGGTTTTTCAAATGAGATTGAACATAGACTTTGTTTAAAAGGTCATCTTTAAAATGATACACAATAAATCTAACCCTGTTAAAAATCTAATTTAACAGCACTCTTTGCTCATCCCCACATTTCATCTCCATTGAATATTAAGCAGCACAAATCAAAGGATGGGGCTTGCTGACTGCTTCAGACTAGCAACATTCCCTTTCACAACCATGGCATTAAAGCCTGATCTAGTGGCATTTCTATAATTAATGAGGCTAACCCAAAGACATGCTCCACGAGCACTTCATCATTTCCTTCTGAACCCCAAATCTGAGCTATCATTTCCTTCCTAACATTAATTCCTCATTTATGTTCTTCCCCTGCATTTGTACAGCTACTGAGGAGGGAAATAATCTTTCTTCCCATCGTAAATCATGCAGACGTGCTTATCAAGTCCAAACAGAGACTCAGGATCATTTAGGAGGATGAAAAACTAAAAATAATGTTTAAATGTCAGAAGCCCATAGATATTGCAAAGGTTTCTCAATTTAAATTAATCACATATATTTACGATAATGTAAAATTTAGAAATAAAAGGTCCCATATATCTTAGCAATTTCTAAAGACTGAATTTTATAGTCATTTGGCCATCCAACACCACCAAATGTCAACCAATTGATCATTAGCATGACTCCAGTCAATGGGGCTACTGCCTTGGAAAATCTGAGGAGGCATCTGCCCGCAGTGCTGTTCAACAGGCTGCTCCGTCCAAGTCCCTTAACACCTTTCCCACACCACCACCTTGCTTTCTCCTCTCTCTCTTCCTCCTCTGCATCCTTTCCGCCTTTAGGCTGTAAACCTCATGCTGCTGTGTGGTTTTTGTTCTCTGCTAATGTCTGTTTTCTGTCGCAAAGAATACTTGGATGCCCACTGTCCCCAGTGGCCTGTCTTCCTTGCACATCCAAGTCCACAAGCTGCCACCTTCCCAGTTTTCTTAGTCTCTCCCTTTGCCTCCTCTCAGGATAACCGTTTTCTCCTCAGATTCATGAAGGCAAGTCAGATACTGTCCCCAAAGGCTACCCTGCTCAAACAGTCCATCCCTCCCTAAAACTCCCCTGGAAAAGCAAAGAGTCTTTTGCCTTGTCCCCCTCCAATTCAAATGCTGCCTCATGCCCCGTCACAAGGATGGCATCTGGGGACCCTGGGCACAGCATTGTCTGTTCCTGCTGCCCGCTCGATCACCCCTACCAGGGAGCAGCTTGATTCCTGTTGTCCACCCTGGGATGGGTTGGGATGGGAAGGACACAGCTGAGCAAGACCCCGTATCCCAAAGGTATCACATTTTGTGCAGTCACAGACCTGCCAGCATTACTGTCTCCAAGTAATTTCTTCTAGGACACTGGCAGTACTCCTTGAAACAAGGAAACCAGACTGCCAGGTTGCTCCCCTCTTGGCATGCAGAGAGAAGAGCATTTCCCCTACTATGGAGCTGCTGCTGCTGAGCCCAGGCAGCTCCAGACTCACTGAAGCCTGAGCAGGAGCAGGCACCTAGCTCTTCTCATTTGCCTGGGGCTGGAAAACAGGCCAAGGCAGGGAAAATGGGGTTACCTCCCACAGGAAAACAAGGAAGCTTGGAGGCCCGTCCCTGCGCCACTCAGTGATTACACATCTGCCATCTCAGCACACAGAAGTGAACTCCTCTCATGCTGAAGATTGTGTCTTTTCTCATCTCCAGCTGATGTGACAACCACATTTGCTGCAAGTACTGGCTCCTGTCACCCCACCATGCTTCGAAGGCTGCAGCAGGATCTGTGCTGGGGCAAGCAGCATGGAATGAGAGAGGCTGAAGCAGAGATTTACCTCACTCCCCCTTCTAAGCATGGGATCCAGGGGGATGGGTATCATACAGAAGTATAACGTGCTAATAGTTAGAAGCAGATGCTTATTTTTCACATCCTCCAAAGGACAAGAAACAAACTACAAAATGAAATGTGTAAATAAGCAAATAGCAAACTAAAAGATGTGGCTCCAGTTTATGCAAAACAAATATCCAGAAACTCAGTACTAGCACACTACAGTATAGGACAACAGTCCTTTCTCTGTTGAGAGAATGGCTATTTACTGCTTAGATATTGTCACAGATGCAGACTTGTAAAACTGCCATGAAAATTTACATGCACAAGCACACCACATTCTTTCCCAACTTTGTAAGAACCATAAAGAAGTAGAAATCTAGTCTTTCAATGAAAAAAAAACCCTACACATCCCTGGGAGATGTAAACTTTTTCTTATCTTCTGTAAATGCAGATAACTTTGTAAATACAGGGAAGAAGTATATAACTTCGTAAAATAACACAGCTGCCCCAAAGGCCAAGTCTAAGGAACAATGTATTAGTTCAAGGACACTAAAACTGAAACAAAACCCACTGGAAAATACTTTTAGAAAGAACAGACAGCAAATGCTTTCTGTGCGCAAAACAGGCCTCTCCCTCCCCCCTAAACTGCTGAAGTCCACTCATAGCCTAGCAGGGAAGGAAGAGAACTCATCATAGGAAAGTAAGGGACTGCCAAGACTGAGGACTGATGACACCTTCTGCCCCATCCCAGAGAACCCATGACAAAACCATGCTGTTAATGCAGGCAGAATGCTCTGCGATTCTCCATACTGTTCCCCCCAAGGAAAAACAACTTAATATAGAAAATTTGGCAGGGAACAAAGCTTTATTTTTTAAAAAATAAAAACTTAATCCAACCAGAAGTCATTGTCATGAATTTCCATACATGTGTGCCTTCTTGTTTCAGGTTATTTAGTTCTTTTTCCCTAATAATTGCCATTTTGTTTCAGGAACCTAGTGCTGTGGAAATCGCAGTGATGGTTCACAGCAAGGCTCGCTGTGCAGCACAGCTGGGAATGTGAGTTTCCTCTGTTGGTAAAGTCTTCAGCATTTATCTGTGACACTGAAGGGGTAAAATCAAATAAAACAGCATCATAGTCAACCTCCGCATACCGACTTCTCATGCAGAGGATCAGCAAGCTGCTTTGCCTTACCCCATGCTGTGCACTATGGCTATCAGGACCTCAGCTGCTTTCCTCAAGGATCTTCTTCTCTCTGAGTGCTGAGACTGCCCATCCTTGCAAACTGCAGACCAGCCTCCAAAACAAGACACAAACGATACATGAATCTGTCATGGGAGGCTTAACTGACGCCAATGGAAAAGGTCCAGCAGAAACTGGCCACCAGTATTATGGTCCCATCTGAGGCAGACTGCTACATGAGGTCTGATTCAAAGCAAAACTCAATTCAAAGCCAGGCCTTTGCAGAAAACTTCTGGAGGAGCCTACACTAATAACCCTTCAAAGCCAGAGAGAAAGCTCTCAGTTGAAGGAGATCAATAATACTACAGGACCTGCCCTGTGGGCAAAGACAAGGAAAGCAGCTGCTAAAAACATCTGTGGAATATCCAACAACCCCCTGCTGTCATGCACTGGTACTTTATTTGTCATGCAGGCTGTCAGCAAAAAAGCTCAGAAAGTATTTTGTGCACACTTAAATCCAACAGTGAGCTGAGCTCAGCAAAGTATTTGCTTCATCTGGCGGCAGAAGCCTCACAGCCTGACTGAATAATTAGTAAGCTTTGGCTACTCAGTAGGCACTCAAAAGGCATCAGCCAACTAGGAACAGAATTCTACGCTGAAACGAATAATGTCAAAAGCAACTTAAACATCAATAAATGTCACCTTTGTTTGTCCTTTACCTGTTACATGATGTGATTTTCCTTTCAAAAACAGCAAGGAAAGAACCACTTCAGGCAGCAAGAGCCTCTTTTACCCCCTCACGCAAGGAAATGTTCTACATTACCCCTGTGCCGCTGGAGTGTTAAAAGCTTTCCCATTTGAAAGTGCTGCTCCGCACGCCGCTCTATACAGAACAGCCACAGGAGCCGATGCTTTCAAAGGCGATGAACTCCTGTAGTTCACACCGGCTTCAGCATTCCTATCGATCAACAGATGTCTGACTCGCGGGCAACCGCAGCCTGAACAAGCTTTTAATGTTGTTTTTCCCCCTTTAGAATCAACCAGGTAGGAAAAGACCTCTAAGCTCATCGAGTCCAACCTTCCCCAGCACTGCCAAGGCCACCACTAACCCATGTCACTGAGGACCTCATCTACACGGTGCATAAACACTTTCCGGGACTGGGTAGCCTGCTCCTTTATCAACCAACACTTGTTACAGCTATACCGGTACCACCTCCTCTTTATTCCCCGCTACAAGGCTCCCGGACCGTACGGCTACAAGCGCTCTGAAAAGCGCATCCACCGCCAAACGTCCCCAGCCGCGCCGCCCAGACACAGGTCAGCCGGCTCCAACAGCACAGCCCCACCGCACCCCCGCATGGCCTTAACCCCTCGGAGCCGGTGATGCGACCAAGGGCAGGGAAGCAATCTCGGGAACCGGAAAGAACAAAAAACCCCACAAACAAGCACCGCTTGATCAGAAATCCGCCTTTTTCTCCTCAAAACAGCCCCGACCCGCCTCCAGCAGCGCGGGCCGCCGGGAAGGGGCGCGCCTACGCGCACGTCGGGCGTCGTGGCGTCACGGCGCTCCGCCGTTCGTGCGACGTGGCCTTGGCCTGGCAGCGGTAAGGGCGGTGGGGATGGCACCGGGACGGGTTGTGAGGCCCCTGCTTCCATCCAGCCCTGTCCCGGGGGGCTGAGGCTGTCACGGAGCGGGGGGACTGGTGTAGATGGCCCGGCCGCGGTGCTGAGGAGGGGAGACGTGAGAGGGCCCGATCGAAGGGACGCGGGGGCAGCCGGTCTGTCTGGTGTCCTGCTCGGGGTGGGCAAGGCCGGCAGATGCTCGCTTTAAGGATGGGGTTGGACCGCGGTACTGCCCTCGCTGCTCACCAGCCCGCCGGCAGCAGGTTTTGGCCTGGGGGAGTTCTTGAGGCGGGTGGCCGTTTTCCATTTAGACGCCTGCCGTATGTTCTCAGAGGCGCAGTGTAGGGCATAAGCTGAAAGCAAACTGGGATGGAGCTGTTGTTTGCCTCTTCGGTGCCGAAAAGCATCATTTTTCGTGATTTTTAAAGGCAATAGTAGGCCCTCGTGTTGATACAGTGTATTTTCGCAAAATGGAAGTACCTTTTAATGCCTGGTTAGGTTGCAGTATCACATTTTAAATTACCTTACAGATTTAATTGGTAACTGCTTTTTCTATTCCTGTAACTAAAAAATCCTCCTTTCATGGCTCCACCAATTAAATCCATTCATCTTGGCAGGTAATCATGGATCAGGTAATGCAATTCGTGGAACCCAGCCGTCAGTTTGTAAAAGACTCCATACGACTTGTTAAAAGATGCACCAAGCCTGACAGGAAAGGTAAAGCACACAATAAACCGGAACGCAATCCTTATTTCTCTTTAAATCTTATTATGTATCTTTCCAAATGTCACTTCTGTTGATTCATTTGTTGTGAATGTTTCTCAGGATGAGATTTAAACTTGAGCAGTTGTCCAAAAGTTAACAAGTTTGTGGTTCTGGATAGAATAAGCTTGATTGTGTTCTTTTCTGGTATGTACGAAGGTGCGTGAGCAGTACTAAATCTCATTGCATGAAATAGGCCAAGTAGCTGAAATAAGCCATTTTGAGACAGGCAAGTGGTAATTCTTATGTATTAGGTAAACTGATCTGGGAAGAAGGTGGTGTGCACTTAAACAAGTTTGACTGCATTCAACTTGGGGGAAATTGTGGAGAAAACTGCTTGTTAAATGAGCAAACACTTCATTTTAGGAGCCTGGAAAGGAACTAGGGTTACTTTCTGCAGTTGTCCATTCAGCCCTTCACAGTTGTCAGTGACTGCCTGACTGGGACAGGAAGAACTTTGTTGCTGGAAGTACAGCAGAGAAAGTTTTGGGACTTTCTCAAAGGCTTCAGAAGCTGTAACTAGAATTAGCTGTAGCAGGTTGTCCCTAGTGGTAGTAGTTAAGGTGCTTTATTCACATGACATCTTTTGAGATCAGTGAGGAACTTTGTTCACTGTCAGACTGGCAGGGTGGGTTGTGAGGGGCTGTTGACCTTAGTCCACTTCATGGCTGCTGCCTTAAAGTAACTGAGAATATCACTTAAGTACTCAGTTTTTGTGAGGACATAAGATGCATTCTTCCTGTGGCAGGCATAAATCAGCTTTTCCATGTTTGATACTGTATTGAGGATTATTTGCAGAGATACAAAGGGAAGATAATGGAATAAATGTGCCATGAATTGTTACAGACTGTGGGTATTCCAGATTCTGCATATTACTGAATGAATGCTGAGATTGGCCATGCTTTGTGGAAAGCAGCACCTTCCCCCTTAAAACTCCTCTATCTAATGAAAAAGTGGATTTGTTTCTCAGTGTCAGTACAGTTTGACCTGCTTCCTCTGTCACATTACTGTTTGATAAAGAGATCTCTCTCCTTTGGTCACTGTAGTGCACATCTCCTCCAGTGTGCCATACACAAGGTGTCCTATACTAAAGTTTTGGTTTTGTTTTTTTTTTGCAGAGTTCCAGAAGATTGCCATGGCAACAGCAATAGGCTTTGCGATAATGGGATTTATTGGTTTCTTTGTCAAACTGATCCACATCCCCATCAATAATATCATTGTGTAAGTAAATATGGTCGTACTTGCATATTTCAGTTTCACTACATTTTGCATTCATTTTTACCTGTTCAATTTTAAACAGAGGATGTTCGTGAGCCCTGCAGTATCCATGTTACTGTAGTATATGTGCATTTTACATGTTAGTGTAATATGATGGCTATTACTTGATTCCAAGGACTGGATCAGGAAGTCGGTTCTTAATGTAGGATGCTGCAAAATATTAATAGAATCATAGAATCCCAGGTTGGAGGGACCTGAAGGATCATCTGATCCAACCTTTCTTGTCAAAGCATGACCTAGACTAGATGTCCTGGCACCCTGTCCAGCCCAGTCTTAAAAGTGTCCAGCGTTGGGGAATCTACCAGTTCCCTGGAGAGATTATTCCAATGGCTGTTATCATAGTGAAAAATATTCCTTTTGTATCCAGCCGAAATGTCTCCAGGAGTAACTTGTGCCCACCATTCCTCCTCTTTTCCACATGATTCCTTGTAAAAAGGGAGTCTCCATCTTCTTTTTAGCCACCTTTGAAATACTGGAACACGGTGGTAAGGTCTCCCCTGAGCCTTCTTTACTCAAGGCTGAACAAACCCAGTTCCCTCGGCCTTCCTCAGCTTCTGAGTCCTCTCATCACTGAGTGCTGCATATGTTTAAAGCCTGGTTTTACATGTAACTGCATTTTGTGAAATACCTTTTGGAATGAACGTTGCAACATGAAAAACTTAACCCTCAAGTTGACCAGAAGCTGTGGTACTGACATATTAACCCTGCCAATTATCATAGAATGGTTTGGGTTGGAAAGAACCTTAAGATCATCTAGTTCCACCCCCTGCCATGGGCAGGAATGCCTCACACTAAAATCTTCATTCTCCAGAGCTGATGTCATCCCATTTCTAGCACTGGAACAGGTTAAGTACTATTCTGTGACTTGTGGCTTGCTTTATACCTTTAAGAGTGGTCCTCTAGGCGAGAGGAAGTGTCTGAAAATAAGAGATAAGCTGTAACTGTAGTAATGTTTGTCCTAAACAGGGCAGTGGTGGGAGGATGAATCAGACTTCAGGTGGATTACTGGATCACACTTGATTAGTTGAAATTGATTACTTTGTTCTCTCAACAGAGGCGGCTGAATATTTACCATGAAGAACAAGATGTTGTGACACTTGCTGCAAAGATTTCACAGCTTTGTTTTCTATTAAACCAGTTCAGTTTGGGTTTTCAAACATTCTTGTCATGCCTCTTTTTGAAGTCTGTGGGATCATAACTGTATACATTACATGCTTTTTTTTGCAGTACTACTGTTTGTGTTTCTTTGGTTTGATGGTTTTACTA